AACTATGAGGGCAGTGATTATATATTCTCTTCATATCTTTATGAAGATATGTTATATTGTACTGTGCTATGCTTAGTCACTCAGTCATGTCCAACCCTTCATGACCCCATGGACTGTAGCCCACCAGGCTCCTCTGTCCATGGGGATTCTCCAGGCAAGAATACTGGAGTGGGTTGCCATTCCCTTCTCCAGGGGATCTTCCCAACCCAGGGATTGAACTCAGGTCTCCAACATTGCAGGCAGATTCTTTACCATCTGAGCCACCAGGAAAGTCCATGTTATGTTAGTTATAGCACTAACATAGCACCACCATATGGTAGATGCTGAATAAACAATTCTTTTTATCATCTCCAAAGATGCATAAAAACTGGTATAATAATTAGAAAAGGTTCTCAGTCTGAATTAATTGACTCTGTTTTGAGACTTACTATAAACCAGTCCCTGTGCTGGATGCCATAAATTAGCATGGAGTATAAACTGGAAAATGGATCACAAAATGATCTAAATGTGGCCAATTAGAATAAGGCTTTATAAATAATCTAGAGAAGAGAGAATGAAAATTAATGCTGGACAGAAATTACACTTTCAAATCATGCTTAGTGCTAAATCTGCTATGATTTTATATTAATTAAAGTGGCTAAAAGCGTAAACTCTGCTTATCAGACAGAATTGGATTTGAATTTACCTCCTACAGTTTTTTAGCTGAAATGAGGTTTATGCATTTCTAAAACAGGAATAAAATTTATTCTATATCCCAGAGTTCTTAAAAAGATGAAAAGGCATGGCGCCTGAAAATAGAGCTTTATATAGTGGCTGGCACATAGAAAACACTTGATAGAGGTTTACTCTTTCTATTTTTGTACCAGAAGGTTGCTCAACCTTCTATTAACTATTACCCTGAGGCATCACACTACTTAATTTCGAAACATACTACAAAGTTATAGTAATCAAACAACAAAGTACTTGCATAAAGACAGACATATAGACAAACGGGACAGAATAGAGATCCCACAAACGAAGCAATGTATATAAGTTCAACTAATATTTGACTAGAAAGCCAAGGATTCTACAAGGGGAAGAATAACCTTTTCAATAAACAGTTTTGGGAAAAATGGATATTCACATGCTAAAGAATGAAACTGGACCCCTGTCTTACACTGTACACAAAAATCAGCTCAGCTGGATTAAATAGATTAATGATTTAGACACAACAGCTTAAACTATAAAATTCCTAGAAGAAAACATATGGGGCAAGCTCCTTGACACTGGTCTTGGACTTTACACTAAAAGCAAATGCAACAAAAGCAAAATTTAAAAAGTGAAACTATATCAAACTAAAATATTCTGCACAGCAAAGGAAACCATCAGCAAAATAAAAATGTAGTTTATAGAATGGGAGAAAATGTTTGCAAATCATATATTTGAAAGGGGCTTAATATCTAAAATATATAGCAAACTTTATATAACTCAACAGCAAAAAGCAAAATGACCCAATTATTAAATATACAAAGGACCTGAATAGATATACAAATGTCTAAATAAATAGATACATGAAAAGGTACTCAACATCACTAATCATCAAGGAGATATAAATCAAAACCACAATGAGGTATCATACCTATTAGTATGTTTATCTAAAACACAAGAGAACAAATGGTGAGGATGTAGATAAAAGGAGAAACTCTTGTACACTGTTGATGAGAATGTAAATTGGTGCAGTCACTATGGAAAACAGTATGGGGAGTCCTCAAAAAATTAAAAATAGAACTATCATATGAAATTCTACTTCTGGGTATCTACCCAATAGAAATGGAAACAAGCTATCAAAGAGATACTTACATTCATGTTCACTGCAGCATTATTCACAATAGCGGTGCTAGTGGTAAAGAACCCACTTGTCAATGCAGGAGACATAAGAGAAGCAGGTTTGATCCCTGGATCAGGAAGATGAACTGGAGAAGGGAATGGCAACCCGCTCCAGTATTCTTGTCTGGAGAATGCCATGGACAGAGTCTGTGGGGTTGCAAAGAGTTAGACACGACTGAAGTGACTTAGCACTTGATATGAAAAAGATTTGAAAACCACTTGAGTGATTCTTAGTCAATGAATAGATGAAGAAAGCATGAAAGACAGAAATCCTGTCATTTGTGACAGCATGAATGAAACTGGAGGGCATTATGCTAAGTGAAATAAGGCAAGCAAGAGAAAGACTAATATTGCATGAAAGAAAGTGAAAATTGCTCAGTCATGTCCAGCTGTTTGAAACCCAATGGGCTAAAGCCTGCCAGATTCCTCTGTCCATGGAAGTCTCCAGGCCAGAATACTGGAATGGGTAGCCTATTCCTTCTCCAGGGGATCTTTCCGACCCAGGATTCAAACTGCGGTCTCCTGCATTGCAGGCAGATTCCTTACCAGCTGGGCTACCAGGGATAGTATCACTTATATGTGGAATCTCAAAGGAAAAAGTCAAAGTTATAGAAACAGTGGAATGGAGGTACAGGAAACAAGGAAAGACTGGTAAGGGTACAAATTATAGTTATCATATGAATAACTTCTGAGGATCTAATGTGTAAGATGGTGACTATAATTACTAATACTATATTATGTAATTGAAATTTACTAAGATAATAGTAAAAAAAAGTAAATGTATGAGATGATGGATGTATTAATTAACTTGATGGAGGAACTCCTTTCATAAAGTATATGTATATTAAATTATCATATTGTGTACTTTATATACACTATAATTTTATTTCTCTTTTTTTGTCTATTTCTGCATAAGGTAATGCTGGAACAGCAATTAATGTTTACATTGTTATGACTTCCAAAACTTGTGTTTTGTAGTGCTATTTGAAGTGAGAAAGCCTTTCAAAACTCAATATTTTCCTTAATGAATCAGTGGCTGTGGCCATAAAACTTAAGTATTTCACCTGAAAATAGAATATGAATATTTACTTGGCCTTGCAGGTGGCTCAGTGGTAAAGAATCTGCCTGCAGTGCAGGAGACATGGGTTCAATCCCTGGGTTGGGAAGATTCCCTGGAGAAGGAAATTGCAACTCACTCCACTATTCTTGCCTGGGAAATCCCATGGACAGAGGAGCCTGGCAGGCTACAGTCCCTGGGGTCACAAAAGAGTCAGACATGACTTAGCATCTAAACAACAACAACATTTACTTAACAGTTTGCAACATATATTAGTTATTATTCTTATTAGAAAGAAATGTGATCAGTGAAGTAGAAGAAGTAACTGAAGCTAGAATAGGAGAAAAATAACAAAGTGGATGTCAATTTTAACTTGTAACAGACAGTCTGTTGATGGAAAAATAGGCTTTTTTTTTGTTGAATACCTGGACACATTTGTTAAAGTGTAATTGTGATTGTTATGTATCGAGGTCTTAAATGTGAAGATTGCGATAAGAATAACAAGTTTAAATTATTAATATTTTTAATTTCAGGCTAGTAATATTTATTTACACTTGGCAAAAACACTAATCCATTACATTTCTTCTGCATACATGTTCCCTCCAGATGTAGAGCTTGATGATGACATACATGGCTCTGACGAGATTTTTAAAAGATGCTTGTTTTGCATTCTTGTAAGGTCAGACTGTTCATGGGAGACATGTCTCAGCTGATACAGCTGATAGAGATAAGAATCTATTATTTCATTCTTAATAAGACATCAATAACATATTTCATCCAGTATCAGGAAGAAGTAGTTATGTCCTAAAACTGAAATATCCATCAGATAGCGGAGAGCAGAAAATAACACCAGACCACTGTGAATAGAGCTATAGTTTAATCATCTTTAATATTGGATAAGCTATTTCATCATAGGGTTCACATGAAGATGAAATGTTGTGTTACATGTGAAGTTTACTATCAGTTCAGTTCAGTTGCTCAGTAGTGTCTGACTCTTTGTGATCCCATGGACTGCAGCACACCAGGCCTCCCTGTCCATCACCAACTCCCAGAGTTTACCCAAACTCATGTCCATTGAGTCGGTGATGCCATCCAACTGTCTCATCCTCTGTCATCCCCTTCTCTTCCCGCCTTCAATCTTTCCCAGCATCAGGGTCTTTTCCAATGAGTCATCTCTTCACATCAGGTGGCCAAAGTATTGGAGTTTCAGCTTCAACATCAGTCCTTCCAATGAACACTCAGGACTGGTCTNTCCTTCCAATGAATATTCAAGGTTGATTTCCTTTAGGATTGACTAGTTTGATCTTCTCCTTGCAGTTCAAGGGACTCTCAAGAGTCTTCTCCAGCACCACAGCTTGAAAGCATCACTTCTGCAGTGCCCTGCCTTCTTTATGATCCAACTCTCAAAATCATACATGACTACTAGAAAAACCATAGTTTTGACTATGTGGACCTCTGTCTGTGACATATCTGCTTTTTAATGCTCTGTCTGGGTTTGCCATAGCTTTTCTTTCCAGGTGCAAGCATCTTTTAATTTCATGGCTGCAGTCACCATCCACACTGATTTTGAAGCCCAAGAAAATAAAATCTGTCACTGTTTTCACTAACAGGTGACTGATGATAAAATGCCAAGTCAGCAGAATGAGAAGACATGCGGCATCTCCTCCCTGATGATTTTCTCCCCACACAATTGTCATTCCCCTGGATCTCAGGCTAGTGAGACTGGCTGAGATACTTACACTTAGACCCCACACAATTGATTCAGTTAGGGCTGTGTGCCAGTTTTTTCTTCTAGCCCCTACAAAACTAATCAAATTAATGGATGCTGCTGCTGGTTCTCATCAAATGCCATTAAAATATAACTTTCATGAATAATTCTAAACATTGACTCAAAGCAATTGATTATGAGAACTACATATCTCAAATGGGAAGAATAATTGATGTTTTCAATATGTGAATGTCTTCTAAGGAATTCTGAGACACAAGTTATAAGAGTACTGCTATAATCACTGTTCATTTGAGTCCTAGAGCTCCTGCTTCATGTTTGTTTTCTAATTTTGGCTTCCAGAGAAAAACATGTAAAATCTTGCAAATCTGTTTCATCATCTCATCTCACTCTGTGGTATCTTTCCTGTGGACACCGAGTGCTTTGGGTCTGCAGAGAGCTGTGAACTGCTCACAATGCCACGTAGAATGAGGTAGGTGTATTTCCTTTCTTCTAAAACCAGCATCTCAGAATACAAGGTCAGTCATCATGTCACTGCCTATGCAATCAGTCACAGTAAACCCACCCATGATAATCTGTAGCAGAAGCAACTGACTATTCAGGTGAGGATATAGTTGCCACTCTGATTGGCTGCTCTTTGTTTTAATTGCCTCTCCTGCTTTGTCCTGGTTTGTTCTCAGCACCTGTCTTGAGCCTCCTTTACCCGAGGAAGAGTTTGTACACATTTTCTGGCTCAATTGTGACACTCCATTTCAGTGAGACTTTGGTTAACTTTATGTGTCAACTTGAGGGGCCATGCATTGTTGCTATTGTTCAGTCACTAAGTTTAATCTCTTTTACGACCCCATGGACAGTAGCCCACCAGGCTCCTCTGGGATTTCCCAGACAAGACCCTGGAGTGGGTTACCATTTCCCTCTCTCAGGGATCTTTCCATCCCAGGGGTCAAACCTGTGTCTCCTGAATTGGCAGGTGGATTCTTTACCACTGAGCCAGCAGGGAAACCCAAGGCCATGGTTGCCCAGAGTTTGCTACCATTCAATCCACTTAGGGCTTGAAGAGAATGGAAAGTCAGAGGAGGGAGCAGTCTACTCCTTTCCTACTTTGCTGATTGAGATTGAACGTCTCATCTCATCTTCTCTTGCCCTTGTACTGAGATTTGTGGCATCCGTTCCACTGGTTCTCAGGCCTTAGAGCTCTGAATTATATCACCACTTTCCTGGGTCTTCAGCTTGCAGAGAGCAGCTGTGGGCCTTCTTTGCCTCCACTATCTTTTGAGGTAATTCCTCATAATAAATCTTCATATCTGTATGCACATAGCTGTGCATCTTCTATATCTATATGTTCTATTGGTTCTGTTTCTGCAGAGAGTATACCTCTCACTCCCCATTTCAAATGTAAAAATGTATCCTGTTTTCCACCTAACTTAAAGAAATTGTTTGGCTGAGTTCATTCCCCTACAACATTTATCATCAAGGGGGTCAGAGAATTTGAGAATATTATGCTACTCAAATGAGACAGTTCCAAGTACAAGTACACTGCTTCGCTATACAGTCATTCAGCCAAATTTTTCTTCAAGTCATTGCTATATGCAAAATCAAGGACTTTATAATTGAATAGGAGATTCAGACATGCAAACCTATAAAGGAAGAGAATGTTAAAGATGCTTTGATAGATGAAAGTTGGCCATGTATGGGGAGTCATTTTCAGTTTGGGAGGTGAAGAAAGCCTTAAAGAGATGATACTTGAGTTAATCCTAGGGGTCATGGTGGAAAAGGGTATTTCAAACAGGAGACACTGGCAATAGTAGGGTTGAGTGATATGGTGGCTCACTAGGGGAGTAGTAAGTAGTTAAACTTGGATGGATGATCAGAACCCTGTGGGCATGGAAGTCAGAGACAGTCTTTAGTGCCAGAGAGAATTCTGCATTTTAGCAATGATCCCTGAATTGATGTTTGTGAGACAATCCCTTTTGGAGCTTTTAAAACTCAGCTCGGTGGCAGTTCTATCCTAAAGCCACCGAGTTTGAACTCCTAGATGTGAGACATGACTGGGTTTACATTTTGTAAGTGCTTCTTCAACTAGAAATTACAAACTGCCCCTGTCCTTTGTAAGCAGGGAGCTCAAGGTGTTTCCTAGAATCCCTTGTAGTTAGGCAGACCCTGAGACAGAATTTAGGCCAATGGCATGGGCTTCTTAGGTGACTCAAGTGGTAAAGAATTCACCTGCCAATGCAGGAGATGCAGGCAGAAGATGTGGCTTCAATCCCTAAGTCAGCAAGATCCCCTGGAGGAGGAAATGGCACCCCCCTGCGGTCCTGTTGGCTGGGAGATCCCATGGATGGAGGAGCCTGGTGGGTGGTAGTCCACAGGGTCACAAAGAGTTGGACACAGCAGAGTGACTGAGCACACACACATGCTGACAGTGAGGAGGGGCACTTCTAGGTCTGTTCTTAAAACTTACTGTGAGATTTTCTGCACCTTCTCTCTTTTCTCACCAGCCATCATTTTAAAGACACAGAAAACTCTAGAGTCAAGGAACCATTGTTGGAACATGTCTGGATCCCCAAATGGCTGAATGGAAGGCCACCCAGTGGACACCTGATTCAGTTGCAACACGAGCAAGAAATGAAATCCTATTATGTGTAGGCATGGGGAATTTGCAGTTGTGCACAATAATATTAAAAAGGACTACTGAGCAATAAGTGGTCACTGAAAAGGTAAAGTGATATGACCAGATTTAGAAAGATTGTTTCATTAATGTGTGGAAAATGGGTTGCAGCGGATAAAGGCCAGCCCTGGAAAGAACAGTGCAGCTATCCCGGGCAGAGGCGATGAGAGCTCTGTGTGGCAGTCAATGGCAATGGCAGACAGGGGGAGAGAAGGCCTATGAGACACAAAGCAAATGCAGTCTATTCCCACTGGAGACCATTTGGATATGTAGATGGCAGAATCTGCCGGCTTTCTGGCATATTTGAAACTCTAAATATTGCTCATAAAATTCAGGAACGCTATAATTTGTTCAAAGATAGTTTTATAGTAATTTCATCATTGTCAAATCTGAATAGTAATTGTTAGAGTTGTCTTTCTCGATTTGGCCATTGCTCCTTCTCCCATGTTAACACATTTTGTTTCATTCAAGATTTTTAAGTACAAATCTTTTCTCATGTTGGTTAGATTGAAGTCAACTGGACTATCCAGATAAAATAATGTATTCAAGGCAAATGTCTCTAAGCCTAATGGAAAACCACAATCCTGTTTTTAAATATCATTCTTTGAAGCACCACGGCTTGGCTGAAGCATCGCCTTAATGCCATGGGATATGCAGTTGGGCTTTTTCTGAAAGGCAAGGCTGGAACAACACCCCGATTCAGAAATGGCTACCTCGACTGCATCCTAATACAGTGGGAAGATGCCGAAGAGCAGGGGCTCAGGTGTGTGTGTTGGCTTTTGTTTAAATGTGAGGACACAAGCCCTTTCACTTCAGGATTTATGAAAGGTGGTGGATTACTGGCACGATGAGAAAGTCCCGATAGGAGAAGCTAGTAAAGCAATCATAAAAGGAAGGAAATAATTGAAGAACTCTAGAGCAGAGGAAACCTTGAGGAATAAGTTTGGCTCAGCAGCTCCAAGGGATTATGGTCATTGATTTCAGACAATTTAGCCACTTGCTCCAAACTAAGGAATCTGAACTTCTGTTAAAAGTGAAAAGGGATTACATTGCAGTTTGCAGAGTTCAAAACCACTAGAGAGAGACAGAAAACTGGGAACAAACAGGCTAACCATGTTCAATGCTGTCTGGAGCTGCTGGTGAAGGCGGAGGCCCCGAGCTCTCTTGAAAGATGAGCCCTGGAGGGAATGAACCTCAGGCCCGGGACATTACCTCCCACCTGCACGGCTTGTTGCCGTTCACAGGATGTGTTCACATGCAGTCTAAGCTTATTCTTTTCAAAATCTCTGTGAGCTATTCCCATTTTATGGATGAGAAACTAAAGTTCATAGTGTTCAAGGGTCATATTTTCAACATCAGTGGTTGTTTATTACAATACAGCTTGCTCACCTTGGTAAAGACTTTAAATGATAAATTATGGATGATTACTTCAAAATATAGTTGTTTCCAGAGTCCATGTTCAAATTATGCTTTCTAAAACTGGCCAATCACTAAGCATTTTTTATAGTTTAAATATTCATAACTACATATTATTACTCTGGCATCTGCCTGAGGGTTCATTTAAAGTATGCAGAGGTCCATTCTTTCCTTTCCCACCAGGAAAGTGAAATCATGCAAGAAACCAGTTCCAATGTTGGAGATTGTATTAGGATAAATCTGTGTTGTGGTTCTATAAATGTAGCTTAAATCAGAACACCTGGCAATGAATGCCATTTAATTCAAACTTACCTGTTTCAATCATATGATTTAACTTGCAAATTGCTTCCAGACAGCTGTTTGAAATTATTTAATTTAGGTTCTTGAGAGATAAGAATTGCTAGAAAGCATACATCTTATGGTGTTACAACTGCTTCTCAGGTCATCCTCACCAAAGATCCTGTTTGAAAGATACTCTAGTTTAGATGGATCTTTATGAAGGATTGTAATGGAAAATCATGGGGCATTGGATGCAGGCAAATTTGGGTTCAAATCTTAACTCTGTATTTGCTAGCTTTATTATCTTGGGCCAGTTAATAAACCTCTCTGAACCTATTTCATCATCTATGAGATTAAATTAGGGCTTCCCAGGTGGTTCAGTGTTAAAGAATCCGCCTGCCGATGCATGAGATGCGGGTCCAATCCCTGGGTCGGGAATATCCCCTAAAGGAGGAAATGGCAACCCACTCCAGTCTTCTTGCCTGGAGAATCCCAAGGACAGAGAAGCCTGGAGGGCTACAGTCTATGGGGTCCATACTTACTCTTAATGGTTAATGGGAAGACTAAATGGGATAATTTGTTTGCACATAGAAAATAATCAAAACGGTATAATATTGATATGAAGAATGAACAAAGATCTAGATAGAACAAAATATTTAAGATGAGGAACATTTATAAATTTGTTTTGTTACTGTAGTTCTGAATTGTAAATTATAGTGGTCCTCAATCACGCAGGTTAAGCCCTTAAAAAACCTAGTAGTAAAATTATGTGATGTTAAAAAACTTGAAACCATATGAAAAATTATGTTAGAGGACAGAGCTTAGAAATAAGCCTATGAAATATATTAGATGTGTTTCATATTCTCTGAAGTAAAGTAACTGATACTTAACACCCAAAATCAGTGGTATTTTACATGTGTTAAAATAGTAATAATACTACCTAACTTTTTTTAGTGTTTCTCACTAAATTTTTAGTGTTTCTCACTAAAAATTTTCAGAATGTCTATCCCAAAGGATCTGCAAGATATTTTTGTTCACAAGATGCCAGCTTTTATATGCTAATAATACACTACAGACTTTGCCCTCATGTCTGTTCTCTCATCAAGGAAGCTGCAGCCTTTCATCTGTTACGTGTTGATTTCGTCCTTCTCTTCTTGTGTTGCCCCCTCCACCAACACCTATGTCTGTAGTTTGTTTCCAAGGTCCCATACCCCAACTTTTGGGTCTCACCACACTCCGTGGGGCAGATGTGGCATCATTTGAGTGTAAGGATGCTTTAGGGAACCATCCAACCTTTTGCGTCACCCCCTCAGTTGTATTCAACATCTTTCTGAGTCTCCTGCCTAACAGGCAGGAGTACTGTCCTCATGATAACTTCATGTTGAAGTTCCTTTGACAACAGCCTCCCTCCATTCCCTGAAGTTTCAAGGCCCATTTGCACTAAAACTGCCATTTTTCGTTTCCAAGACTTCCTTGCTGCATTTCCATCCATGCTCTACCATCTGCCTAACCTTCTCTTTCAGTTATAAATATCCATGTCATTTTCCAATTATCTTCAACAAGAGTGACTTGTAAGCCACAAATGCTACATCTCAACTTCTCTAATTGTTCAGTTACAGTACAGCCTGGTCCAGCCTGAACAGTAGCAAGCCAAACATGCCTGACCTTGGGTCCCTTATCTATCTTTGTTCTCGTTAATCACTACCGCATGTACACAACATGTTTAAAAATAAAAATAGGGATAAAGAAGAAAAGTGCCAGTTTATCTGTTGCAAAACTAATTCAATTGCTCTCTCCTTCCTAAGGGCAGAAGTGGTTAATAGATTATAGAGTTTGGTTCTGCGTAACAAAGCTGGGGGAAATCAGGCCAGATAGATTAGGAAGTCACAGCTCCATCTGAGAGAGAAAAGTCAATAAAAGCACAATACCAAATTGGGGTTGCATACCCAAGAATGGGAGAAGGCAATGGCACCCCACTCCAGTACTCTTGCCTGGAAAATCCCATGGACGGAGAAGCCTGGTTGGCTGCAGTCCATGGGGTTGCAAAGAGTCAGACACGACTGAGCGACTTCATTTTCATTTTTCACTTTCATGCATTGGAGAAAGAAATGGCAACCCACTCCAGTGTTCTTGCCTGGAGAATCCCAGGGATGGAGGAGCCTGGTGGGCTGCCGTCTGTGGGGTCGCACAGAGTCGGCCACGACTGAAGCGACTCAGCAGCAGCAATAGCATCTGAGAATGAGGACTTCCCTGGTGGCTCAGAGATAAAGAATCTGCCTGCCAGTGCAGGAGACGTGGGTTTGATCTCTGGGTTGGGATGCTTCCCCTGGAGAAGGAAATAGCTACCCACACCAGTATTCTTGACCGGGAAATCCCATGGACAGAAGAGACTGGCAGGCTACAGTCCATGGTGTCGCAGAGATCGGAAACAACTTAGTGACTAAACAACAACGATAACCCAAGAGTGAAGTGTCAGGTTGCAGTGANGATCGGAAACAACTTAGTGACTAAACAACAACGATAACCCAAGAGTGAAGTGTCAGGTTGCAGTGAGGACAAGTAAGTGGTAAGAAATGGTAGGGTGCTGAGATTTTGGCTGTCAGGTAATACAGTTGGCATCATAAACTATCTTCCCCAGGTGCTCAACACTAAAGAACTCGTTTGCAAAGCAGGATACCACAGGAGATGCGGGTTCAGTCCTTGGGTTGGCAGGATCCCCTGGAGGAGGGCATGGAAACCCACTCCAGTGTTCTTGCCTGGACAGAGGAGCCTGATGGGCTATAGTCAATAGGGTTGCAAAGAGTCAGACATGACTAAAGTGACTTAGCATGAATGCATGGGACTCAGAAGACAGCCAAAGAGTGTAACAGAATTGCTCATAGAGCCCAGTCATGAGATATGACAGTGCTACCAACTCTTACTTTCAGATATGAGTGTCTGTGTTGAACAACTTTCTGTTGTCTTGTTAGCCGGTAGTGCTACTGGACACTACTTGTGAAGTCTGATGCTATAAAGGTGACAGGGGATTTTGTGTCTGAGGACTCTTAGAATAAATGAAGAAGAAATAATTCTTAGCATTTCTAATAGGATTCACTGATGATCTTAGATGTGCAAGAAGATAAGTGAACGCAATAAGGAGCCACCATGGGGAGATGAGATAACTGACTGTGGTTATATAATTTAAATGGGTATGTGATCATAAGATTTATGTCTAGGAATATATTATAAGGAATAAATTCAAGTGTTTATTTAATTTTCAATTTAAACTGCTAATGAAGTACTCTGTGATATAGGATACTAAAATCATGTCAAATTAGTACAATTTCTACACTGCACAGAAGAAAATACTATAATTACTGAACAGTAGAAATATAATTGTTTATAGTTCTTAAGCATCACAGCAATTAAGTCATCACATTTGTTATGCTTTCTTTAGAATTGTGGTTAGTGATTTTTAATCCTCTTCTTTTAACTCTCCATTTTCTGAATTTACTACACATTTTTAAAGTGTCCTTGATAGTCCAAAAGTTTTGTATTCATAAAGCTCCGTGGAGTCATAACCCAGTGACATACAAACCCAGATCTGAGACTAAGCATGGATGGGTGTGATTTTGACTTTATTTCATTTCCTAATCTTTAGTTGGAGTAGGTGCAAATGGAATGTACAATCCAACAAAAGAAGTAACAAAAGGAGGGAGGCCCATGTGCAGATGAAAAGGTCAAGAGTGGTTGATACAACTGAATACTGGAAGTCTTTGAAGGCTTGACTCTTGTTTGACTATTCTAAAATGTCATCCTTGGAAATTACTCCACTTGATACTAAAATTCATGGAAACCTTACAGACATATTTTCATATCAGCTGATATGCACTTTCTCCAGTCAACCCCCTAAATCACCTAAGCATAGTGCTCTAAGGTTGATGAATTGGTTTGTTTTTTATCTTATCTCTGCTAACAAGATTCTTTCATGAAGTACTTCCTTAAGAGCCATGTAAAGATCCTCAAATAATATTTTAATAAGGACTACATACAGATAATAACACCCACTTTCTAAACCAATTTCTTCCTCATTCTACAAGACAATGACTTTCAGAAAAAATAAAAATATTTTCTTAAGTGGCATTATCTACTTGTCCCAGAGCCAAAAGTTGAATGCTCCATGCTATGGAGATTTGGTAATGGCCAGTGTTCCTACATATCAGGGATAATGTGATAAGTTCCTTTGCACAGAAGGGTCAATGGGTTACCACAGTGAGCTTGATCTCTGCAATTTTAGTGTCAGAGATATTTATGTTCCTAAGTACCCCATGCATGCTATTAAAGGTAAAAGAAACAGCAGGGGCATGGTTTCAATTGCTGAGCAAACAATGGTAGAAAGATGTTTATTAAAGCTGACTCTCAAGTGACAGATAAATGCATAGTTCTATTATGCATGCTAATTTCAACATGCAGCAAGCTTAAAAGCAGATAGATCAAAACAAAAGAGGTTTAAAAAATCATAAAGACAAAATAGAGCTATGTTGGTATGTGACAAGAAAATAATTTTGCCTTAAAAGTGAATCCTCCTCAACCCCCTCAAGAAACATGTAACCACAATTTATGGAACAAAATTAAAAGCAAGTTGGGATTGTTCCATTTCGTAGCTTGCCTGGCTTTGAGTTTTTTTTTTTTTTTTAAAAAGGGCTGTTGTTAAACTAAGATACAATTGATCCTTATATTATAAACAAACAACTAGATCACATAATTACTGATTTGTAATTCTGATTTATTAATGTGCGATGTTTAGTTCTTAAAAAAAAAAAGGAAAACAACACAAACACACACACACACAAAACAAGCCAATAAACAGACTTTTTCATGCGCATCTTCTTTTCTACCTCACAAAGTTCCATGGCATGATTTTTTAGAGGTGTTCCCTTGCTCAGGGCTGGCATATATTTTTCAATTTTCACTGTCCAGAGCCATATTTACAGAAAGATGTACAAATATTGTAGATGGTAGGCTGCACAACCCTCACATGATTAAAACTTCAGTTCCTTGGTTTTCTAGGGCTTTGTGTAAATGCCAATAAACTTCAGAGTTTACCTAACTGTGCCTCTCAACCTTTGGTCCCAAAGGTGAAGGGCAGGATTTTTAATCAGGTAGCAATTTATCTGTAATTAGGAAAACATAATTACATATTATCATCTAATTGCAATTACTGGTTGGAGAAAGTCACATTTCACAAGTAGTGACCCATGCTGAATTATCATTCTCCTATTACTGAATTCTGCATCTGTATTTGTATTTGGCAGGAAGCCAATAAAAATTCAAAGGTAATCACTATGCTTCTCTGCAGTCCAGCTGTCAAAGTCACCAACTTCACTGTTGAATAAGAAAGCGAGACATACTTTCTGAACCACATCTTGGCTATATCTGTTTCCTGCTCAGACATTAAGTGGAGATCAAAATAATTGTATACAAAAAAAACCCCATGTGACGTAGGTTAGAGAACTGTTCCACGCTTCATTTCTGGTACAGTTAAAAAGTTTAATGTCTCAAGGCACCACTATGGTTGAACATTGGATACGCGGGTAACCAGCTAATCTAGTAGGCTGTAAAGTCAGTAAATAGCTTGTGCAACTGTGAAAAGCAATCTCTAGAGGACTGTTAGATATACTGTAGGCACAGGTATCATAATAATACAAATAGAAAAAAACAATGAGTCCTAGAAAAAGCATGTTGAGCACCGTTGTGGCATCATTTGTATTTCTTTACCTAACGCTACGTAAACCTCACATTTACGAAAGGAAAGACTAACTTCTGAAAGTTACACTCAAGGTTGCTCTTTGTGCTTTCCCCAAAAGTGGATCTAGTTCGTCGGTGTACTTTTGGAAGTCGTTGGATCCCCGTCACCCTCAGTGGTGCTGGTTGATTCATTCAAGTGCGAGCTCAAGTTCTCCGACGTGAGGTGGGAAGACTTGTAGACGATCTCGTTGAAGTCAGACCTGATGCACACCAAGGCGGGGTCGTTCAGCGGGTCTTCCACTGAGGCCTGGGTATTTTCCCTTGTGATTCCCATGTCCTTGCTGTGCTCGGAGGGGGATTTTCTTCTCATGCGAGTGTAAGTTTTGTCTTGATTCTCCATGCCTTGCTCATTTTTCAAAAACCGTCCAAAGAACCAAATGAAGAATCCAAACCACACAAAAGCTATTAAACTTGGAACAAAAGCCAGACACTTGACATCGAGGCTTGCCCCTATGAACCTGCTGTGGAGGAACATGTCTCCCTCAACATAGGTTTTATTAGTCCGAGGGTTGGTGTGGTTGGACCGCCATTCCCAGGATAGCTTGGTTCTGTTCAAATCCTTTAGACTCTCTGAGTCTTTGACTGTATATATCTTCTGTCCTGGGCCAATATACTGTCCATATTCATGAGGCTTATAAAATATCTGATTCTTCCACATATTAAGATCCAAAATCAAGACGAGAAAGATAATTCCATAATTAAACCATTTACCTGCATTAAAAAAGAAATACTGTGTATTAGTCAAAGACTGGTAAAACTGCAATAGGGTTTTCTCCTATAAAATGGAGATAATGGTATTATAGCATAAACTGTTAATGTTTTAGACCTGTTAATTTTTTGAGAGTGCTATGCTGCCATTAAGTCAATTGGCAAAGGGAATTTCCTAAATGGATGTTAAGCATGTGAAAATGTAACTCTTGATCCCAGAGCCAGCAATTTATGGTATTTACACTAACTAGACAAAGTCTCCTGGCTTTTAAGGCACCACCACTATACTCTAATTGGGTTTCATGTAGGTTATTCTCTAGAACATTTCAATTAAGGTTTGAAAACAAGTTCTAATAAAATTCTTAGAAAAGTCCAACATATGATTGAATATCTCCTATGGTTTTATAATTATGTCTGGGAAAGAAATAAATCATTTTGCAGTGTAAGCACAACAGTGCATCAATTGAATTCACATTGCTGTTTGTTGGTGACCTGTTGATTAAACTATTAGTCGATGTGGTTCAGATCAATATTCCTTGAGCATTCATTTCAAGACTTTAAAAATAATTGCATCAAATTCTCATTGAACAGAATCCATTCATCAGACATATAAATATAATTAAAGCTTTAGATGATATGATTTGGAGAGACTATAACCACTATGACTTCTTTGTAGGATTTAAAAGTCCTATATAGATGTAAATCCATGGCTAATTCATTTCAATGTATGACAAAAATTACTGTAATGATGTAAAGTAATTAGCCTCCAACTAATAAAAATAAATGGAAAAAAAAATAAATAAAAGTCCTATATAAATATTATTTAGAGACATTATCTAGTGAAATCTTTGCATCTTTAAATGGAAATAATGTGGAAAAACTTTAAAGGGATACTATATTCCATTACAATTTTTATTATTATTTGTTCCAAATTTTACAGTATGAAGTGTTAGCTTAGTAACACCTCATAGTTTTGCTATCGCAAATAATGTGATATATTTACAGATTCTAAAAGATTTAGTTATAATTATTATATATATTATGTCAAAATTATTTTGTATTTAAAAATAATGACATTGAACATTATTAAGTTACTGCCTCACATGAGAGCTTAGCTCTTGAGAAAACGTCTTACTAAAACTGGTAAACACGTATTTTGTAATACATACTTCAATAGAACACATAGCTTAAATATGACCTTGGGTAAGGAAAGGAGGTTAGGAAAATATTTTATCATCATCATTACACATTTTCAAGCTCCTATTAGGTGCAAATATGAGGGCTTTCCCAAACCCTTGTCTAGATGCCAAAACCTACTAGCTACATTAACTTGGGTTAGTTGCTTAAATTCTCCAAACTCCAATTTCTTTACAAGCAGAAAATAACAGTACTTATTAAAATGGTTAACATTTCATGAGATTATTAGATACTAAGCACAATGTTTGCTATATAATAGGAACTCAGTAATTGTCACTATTATTATCATCAAAGTCTTGCCTAAGTCATGATAATGTCGTCATTTGCATGGAAAGGTACAACTTCTCTATGAAGAGAATTTATTTAAACCACAGGAAGGGAAATGTCCTAAAATCATTCAACCATACAGGGTTTATAATATTTGTAATGAAAATTCTTGCCTGAATGATTAATTTGGCACTCCCAAACTATAAATTAAGTGGGAATACTGGAAACATTTCCAGATATGAAAAGATGCTTATAACACCTTGTACTGTTAAGCTCAAGCCACTCCTGCCCTCTTGTAACTTCAAAATGAAAACAGAATCAACCATAAAATAAATCAAGAAAGCTCAAGCCAGAGAAATTCCACCAAATACAAAGGCAGGCATCATTGCCAGATATTTATTGTATTCATAATAGACTCTGTGAAGGATACCTTAGTAGATCCTGAGGACATATGTCACTGCCTTCAAGGAAGGAACTTATCATCTTATGGGAGAAAAGACAACAGAGACATCAACAGATAAGTAATAATAATAAGAGGCCACATCTAAGAGGTGCCAAAGGAGCGATACAAACCATAAAGCTGAAGATGTTGAGAAAATGGAATAAAAATTGAGTGCTAACTTCTGCAGAAGGGATTTTGAAGGAAGTAGCAATTCATGTGGTCGAGAAAGAAAAGGAGGACAGGGAACAGTTTGGAAAATGTTATGTTTCTTTTAGTGTATGTTTTTATTATGCTGCAGATAGAATAATGTACAGAAAAAGATCAGCTAATGTGGAAGAGAGGGGACAGAGAGAAGGGAAAGAATGGAGACTATCATAGGAAAAGAACGCACAGCAAAATGAGAGATAGGTGATATGAAAAGTTCAGGGATTCTCATCCAGTATCACAGAGGCACTAATGATTGAAGCAGTTGGAAGAGGGGTTTTGGGTCCTTCTCTGTTGTAGGAGATCCATACTTCTTCTCCTTTTGGGAACTACATGGGTTATGAAGCTATGGAGAGGGGAAGAGGTCCTTCAACCTGAATGACTGGCCATCAACTTCCTGACTCACAAAGTGAAAAAAGTGAAAGTCAGTCATGTCTGACTCTTTCCAACCCTTTGGATTGTAGTTCAACAGGCTCCTCTGTCCATGGAATTCTCCTGGCAAGAATACTGGAGGAGGTAACCATTCCCTTCTTGGGAGATCTTCCTGACCAAGGGAGGAAACCCGGGTTTCCTACATTGCAGTTCATTTGCATGGAAAGGTACAACTTCTCTATGAAGAGAATTTATTTAAACCACAGGAAGGGAAATGTCCTAAAATCATTCAACCATACAGGGTTTATAATATTTGTAATGAAAATTCTTGCCTGAATGATTAATTTGGCACTCCCAAACTATAAATTAAGTGGGAATACTGGAAACATTTCCAGATATGAAAAGATGCTTATAACACCTTGTACTGTTAAGCTCAAGCCACTCCTGCCCTCTTGTAACTTCAAAATGAAAACAGAATCAACCATAAAATAAATCAAGAAAGCTCAAGCCAGAGAAATTCCACCAAATACAAAGGCAGGCATCATTGCCAGATATTTATTGTATTCATAATAGACTCTGTGAAGGATACCTTAGTAGATCCTGAGGACATATGTCACTGCCTTCAAGGAAGGAACTTATCATCTTATGGGAGAAAAGACAACAGAGACATCAACAGATAAGTAATAATAATAAGAGGCCACATCTAAGAGGTGCCAAAGGAGCGATACAAACCATAAAGCTGAAGATGTTGAGAAAATGGAATAAAAATTGAGTGCTAACTTCTGCAGAAGGGATTTTGAAGGAAGTAGCAATTCATGTGGTCGAGAAAGAAAAGGAGGACAGGGAACAGTTTGGAAAATGTTATGTTTCTTTTAGTGTATGTTTTTATTATGCTGCAGATAGAATAATGTACAGAAAAAGATCAGCTAATGTGGAAGAGAGGGGACAGAGAGAAGGGAAAGAATGGAGACTATCATAGGAAAAGAACGCACAGCAAAATGAGAGATAGGTGATATGAAAAGTTCAGGGATTCTCATCCAGTATCACAGAGGCACTAAGTTGGTAGCTTTCATGATTGAAGCAGTTGGAAGAGGGGTTTTGGGTCCTTCTCTGTTGTAGGAGATCCATACTTCTTCTCCTTTTGGGAACTACATGGGTTATGAAGCTATGGGGAGGGGAAGAGGTCCTTCAACCTGAATGACTGGCCATCAACTTCCTGACTCACAAAGTGAAAAAAGTGAAAGTCAGTCATGTCTGACTCTTTCCAACCCTTTGGATTGTAGTTCAACAGGCTCCTCTGTCCATGGAATTCTCCTGGCAAGAATACTGGAGGAGGTAACCATTCCCTTCTTGGGAGATCTTCCTGACCAAGGGAGGAAACCCGGGTTTCCTACATTGCAGGTAGATTATCATCTGAGCTCACAAAGGCCCCTTGGAAAAACCCTGTTTAGATCACATTTATCAACTCATGAATAGAGCAGTCTCCCATACGGGGTTTCTGTTTCTAGGGTAATGATGTCAGAAATTGAACACAAGCAGCACCACAGAATCAGAAAGGAAAAGAGGAATGCTCACGGAGCTTAGAGAAGGGTCCTTTTCTGGTGGCTAGAAGATGCTCAGTGAACAACAGTAAAAGGAAAAAATAAAATAAAATCAGGGAACAAAAGTGGTCGTGAATGTACAGTGATCAACCTGAAGGAACCATGCAGATAGAAAGAGCTTTTTTTCATACTTTCAAATTATTTTCTCTACCCAAGTTGAATGGTGCTGGGTCAGCTTGACCACTAAACATTCACATTAAAAAATCATGTTATGTCACTTCTCAAGTGACCTGGTGTCTATATATTAAGACAGGAGGAAGGAGACACCAGTTAAGCATGTGTTGCCTGACAGTGGATACCATTACTCTGCTCTAACACATGTTTACTGTTTTGTGAGAGGGGAATCATAGGGACAAAAACTGCAGGCTGGACACCAGCGGATGGGGATCAAATACTCAGTACAATGTGGGTAATGTGTTTAACCTCTCTAGATCTCAATAATTTTAGTTTCAAATTGAGTTAACAGAAATAGATGCCTTCCAGTTCTATGATTCTGTCCTCTTCCCCCAAACCCTTCTATATGTTAACTATGTACATTCAATTTTTTGTGCTGTGAAATGGAGAATAACACCAGTGTTGTTCAGTTACTCGGTCATGTCTGACTCTTTGTGACCCCATGTACTGTGGCATGCCAGGCTTTCCTGTCCTTCACTATCTCCCCGCATTTCCTCAAATTCATGTCCATTTAGTCAGTGATGCCACCCAACCATCTCATCCTCTGTCATCCCTTTCTCCTCCTGCCCTCAATCTTTTCCAGCATCAGGGTATTTTCCAATGAATCAACTCTTCACATGAGGTGGCCAAAGTATTGGAGCTTCAGCTTCAACCTCAGTCTTTCCAATGAATATTCACGGTTGGTTTCCTTTAGGATTGATTGGTTTGATCTCCTTGCAGTCCAAGGGACTCTCAAGAGTCTTCTC